CGTCTGTGAAATGGGGGTCCCGTCTGTGAAATGGGGGACCTGTCTGTGAAATGGAGGTCCCGTCTGTGAAATGGGGGTCCCGTCTGTGAAATGGGCATCCTCCCTGAGCCGTTGCACAGTTCTGTGGATCACGTCTAGGACACTGAGTGTCTCATGGTGAATCGTCCCCGCTCTGTCCCTGACATTGCTTTGTGGCAGAGATCTTTAACGGTATACTTCCTTTGTCACCACAAGTGCTGAGCACTCACTGTGTGCCAGACACAGGCAGCAGTGAGCGGCCAGGCAGGTCTTTCTTCTGAGGGTCTCACTGGGCAGACACACGTGCAGCTAATGTCACTGCTCAGGGTCATGACAGAGGGAAGCTGGAGCTGGCCGGAAGCCTGGAAGGCTGCCTGGAGGGGGTGATGTCCCCACGGGGCAGGGAAGAGAGCTCCAGGCAGAACTGGTGGTGCTGGTGGGTTGGGTGCAGGGCTTGGAGAGGGCTAGGGGAGCCCGTGGGCACGGCTGGGGGGTCAGCGGGGCCGTGTCTGGGCCTGAGGGCCGCCCCCTCTCCCTGGGCAGGTGGCCCCTGAGACCAAAGCCGTCATGAAGTGGATGAGAACCATCCCCTTCGTGCTCTCGGCCAGCCTGCACGGAGGCGACCTGGTGGTGTCCTACCCCTTCGACTTCTCCAAGCACCCCCAGGAGGAGAAGATGTTCTCTCCCACGCCTGATGAGAAGGTGAGAGGGTGGGTGCCCAGACAGGGTGGGGAGGCAGTGTGGGTGGTACCCTTGGGCTGACTCTGGGCGCCGCTCCTGTTTGGAGCTTCTGCCTGTGGCCAGCCCAGCCCCAGAGTCTCCTCCTTCAGGAAGCCTTCTGGCCTGGGAGGAGGCAGCCTCTCTGTGCTCTGAGCCCCCTGACGCTGGCTACAGCCCACCCCCCATCAGTGTCCCTGGCCAGGTCCTCTCTACCTCCAGAGAGCGGCTCCCTTGGTGCCCACGGCCGGCCGGCAGGGGCTGGTGGTCTGTCGGGAAGGGTGCATTCCGGGCAGCGCCGGCAGAGGGCAGTGCTGCAGCGTGCATGCTCTTCCTGGCTCCCTGGGTCCCCAGCGCTTGTTAGAGTAGGCCCCTGGAGTAGGAGAGCGGTGGGTGAGAGCGGGGATATTGGCCTCGCACTTCACACGGCACTCAGGCCAGGCCCTCCCTCTCCAGGCCTCAGTTTCCCTCACTGTACCCAGCAGTTAGACTGGCTGGGAGTGAGACCCCACTTCTCTCTGAAATGTCACACCAACCTGCTGCCCCCAGCCCCCAGCCTGACAGTCCCCCCAGAGCATGGATCCCTGGGCTTCCCACAGGCTGGTCCTCTGGGAAGGGTGATGGTGGGCGGCATGACCTGCCACAGGCCACAGCTGGCTGGGGCCTGGACGGCTCCTGGTGGGCACATGGCCCTGGGTACCTGCCCTGGGGCCAGCCCAGCCCTCCACTTGGTCCCCTGAACAACAAGGAGCTGGGAGCTCTGGCCTTGACCTAGTCACCCACTGAGCGCCAGGCCTGCCCCACCCTGCCCGGGCACCCTCCCTTGCTGGCGGTGTCCACACCTGGCTTGTTCACCAGGCCAGGTGGCACAGCTGGGCCCCACTGCTCAGCCCTGGACTCAGCCTGCCTCGGCCCACCCTTCCCTGTGCTCTGCCAGTCCCGGGCTGGTCCCAGGAGTAGGCCCTGCCTCTGAGGGTCCTCAGTGTAGGGAAGAGATGGCCAGACATGGGCCAAGGAGGATGAGACAGGCAGGGTGCACGCAAGGGTGGACCCCAACCTAGCCCAGGGCAACCTAGCCCATGCAGACATCACTCGTAGCCTCCGTTCAAGTGGAGCCCAAGGTGGGAGAGGTTTTGGGCAGAGGGATGGGGGCACGGCAGACACCCCTGTCCTCTTTGCAGACCCCGAGGGGAGTGAGGGAGCGGCCCGCGGGGTACACGGTGGGCACAGGCAGCTGCCCATCAGAGAGCTCAGGGGAGCTGTCGAGGGTGACACCTCTGTCCGCTGCTCGTTGTTCCTGCCCTTGCCCACTCGCTCACTCACACACTCACTCATTCACTCACTCACTCACTCATTCACTCACTCACTAGTTCACTCACTCGCTCATTCACTCACACACTCGCTCATTCATTCACTTATTCATTTACTCACCAATTCACTCATTTATTCATTCACTCATTTATTCATTCACTCACTCACTTATCCACTCACTCACCCCTTCACTCATTCATTCACTTACTCACCCATTCACTCATTCATTTATTCACTCATTCATTCACTTAGTCACTCACCCATTTACTCACTCATTCATTCATTTTCTCACTTACTCATTCACTCACTCATTTGTTCCCTCACTTATTTATTCAGTCAGTCAGTAATTCATTCACTCTCATTCCTTCATTTATTTACTCATTCATTCATTCACTCACTCACTCATACTCTCATCTATTCCTTCACTCATTTATTCAGTCAGTAATTCATTCATTTCCCCTCTCCTTCCTTCCTTTATTCACTCATTCATTCACTCACTCATGCATTCTCTCCTGCACCCAGCATGTATCAAGGGCCTGCGATGTGTCGGGTTCTGCACTCAGAGCTCAGGAAGCGCCCCCTGCCCGGGTGGCCAGCAGTCTCCACTCGGCCTGGCCGTGGCCCCTGCGCCGTCAGAGAGCAGTGGTGGCACCTGGCCAGTGTTGGCAGTGGGAGCCCCTCGCTCTGGGCTCACTCCCAGATGCTAAGGTGTCCCTGGGGGTGAGGTTTGCCTCAACAAGCCCCGCCAGAGTTGTCGGCCTTCCCCACCAGCCATCCGTCACCGGTCGATCAGCAGTCAGCCCCCAGCCAGCTCGGCCTCTGCGGAAACCAGAGTCCGTGAGGCCGGGAGGGGGGTGCGGGGAGGGGCTGCTGGGGTGTTCTGAGGCTGCCCTCCCCCAGGCTTCCATGGAGCCCCAAGACGAGGCCCCCGGCCTGGCCACTCCCCGCCTGCCCCTCTGCCAAATCCCACTGCAGAGCCCGCTCAGGCTCCGTCCTTCCTGCCAAACCCGCCCAGCCCTGCCTGTGGCCCCCAGTGGGGTAACATCGAGGGTCTCCGTGGGGTTCCCCTCGCCCCATCGAGTCCTCATTTGTTCACTCACAGCCATGCGGCCTCGGGCCTGTGTCCTAGAGTCGCCCTCCCACTCCCAGCAGGGTCACCTCAGGCTCCTGCTCCTCCCAGCCGCCCGAGCCAACCCGGTTTATTCAGTCCTTGTATCTAGGTCTTTCCCTCGCCCACTGACCCTCCCTCGTCCCGTGCCCCGCCCTCCCATCCAGTCCTGCTCTGGCCAGGCCCGCGGCTCACGCACCCCATGGCTTGGGGCTGATGCTGACTCTCTCTGCTTCTTACAGGCCAGGGGGTCAGCTGCTGCCTTCCTAGCCTTAACCCAAGGGGAGGCCCCGGGATGGGGAGGAGAGACTGGGGGCTGGGGGAGGAAGCTGACGGCCCGACAGGCCCTGTGGACATCACATCAGTGTGCCCGCCGTCCCGATAAAGCCCCCACTCCTTCACCGGGTGTTTGAATCCCGTGAGCGCCCCCATGTGCTCCACCCGCCCTGACCTCCAGCCGAGCCACCCTGCCTGCAGGCCCCACCTCAGGGCCTTTGCAGGTGCTGCCCCTCCCTGGACACTGTTCCCGCCACCTGCTCATGCTCTGGGAGTTTGCTCTAGGGGCCCCTCCCCCAGGAGGTCCTTCCTGGTCCCCCACCCTTAGAGCACCCACGCTCTGGTCTCGGCCTCTCGGAAACCTCTCTCACTGTCTCTTTTCCAGATGTTCAAGCTGCTGGCCAGAGCCTACGCCGACGTGCACCCCATGATGATGGACAGGTCGGAGCACAGGTGTGGGGGGAACTTCCTCAAGACGGGGAGCATCATTAACGGGGCGGACTGGTACAGCTTCACTGGAGGTGCGCCGGCTGGAGGCGGGCAGGGAGGTGCTGTGATGGGGGCGGGGGGCAGGAAGTGGGTGGCAGCATCCCCTTCTGCACCTTTTCCACACGCATGCACTTCTGGAACATTAAACCAGTTGCCATCAAGTCGACCCCGACTCATGGTGACCCCATGTGTGTCAGAGTAGAACTGTGCTCCACAGGGCTTTTAATGGCTGATTTTTCGTAAGTAGGTCACCAGGCCTTTCTTCTGAGGAGCCTCTGGGTAGACTCGAACCTCCAACCTCTCCGTTAGCAGCCAGCACGTTGCTTGTTTGCACCATCCAGGAATATCCGAGAGCCACGGAGACAATCACACATCCTGGGGGTGTGGGGGGGCCTTCTCCTCAGGGGATGGGAAAATCTGGGCTCGGCTGCCTTTGATTTTAGTGACGATCTTGATAAACAAAGTGTGTGTCTAACCCTTGCAGAAAAGCTAGACCTGTGACTTCCGCATCACCGGTTCTGTGCTGTTGCCTTTGGGTGCCACAGAGTTGATTCCAAGTCGTGGTAACCCCATGTGACAGAGTAGGACTGCCCTGTAGGGTTTCCTAGGCTGTTGTCTTTATGGGAGCAGATCGCCAGGCCTTCTTCTAGTGGAGCCACTGGGTGGGTTTGAACTGCTAACCTTTTGGTTAGCAGCCGAGCACTTAACTGCTGCGCTGCGGGGGCTCCTTACCGTTTCTGTAGTTTATTTAATATTCACGAATATTCACATTTCATGATTCCAACTGTAATCATTTTTTTTCCTTTGGGGGTTCAGTAGGTTGCCAGATAAAATACAGGACCGCAGTTAAATGTGAATTTCAGATAGGCAACAAAGACAGTTTAGTCCCGTGTAAGTATATCCCACACATTGCACCGGCTGAACTTATACTGAAAACTCATTCCTCCTTTCTCTGGAAGTCACATTTACCTGGCTGTCCTGTGTGTGATGTGCTGCATCTGGCAGCTGTAGGTTCAGATATCACAAGCAGAATAGGGCGTGCAATGGGGGGCGCCCGCAGCTGGGTGCCACGCCCCTGTAGCGGCCGGCCGCCCCGCACGCCTGCACTACGCCAGTACCACATAACGGGGCCTTGTCTGTCCCGTTTGGAGGTGAAGACGTTGGGCTCGAGTCCCCCACCCCCTGCCTGGTTCTCACTGAGGAGCTGGGCCCCCCACTTCTCCTGGGCAGGCAGCAGGTACCCTGGGGCTGAGCCGCCGGCCACGTTCAGCCCCTGCTCAGCCAACTTGCTTCTGTTGCTCTGTGAGGGCTGCTCTTTTGCTAAAACTGGGCGCACGATTCCCCCATTCCCAAGGCCCTGAGGCTTGGTCACGGCCCTCTCACCCTGCTCTGCAAAGGGCCTTCCGTGTGGAGTGAGATAGGGAGAGGCCAGTGTTGGGGACACGGCCACCACCCTCCTTTCCCCAACCCCTAGCCCTCAGGGACCCCAGGGAGAGCGTGGGGGGCTGGTGGGCAGGACAGACGTGCGGACGGACAGGGAGCCCATGGGAGCAGCGTGCATAAGAATCGTTAATAGCCGCAGGTGCTGGGGTTCAGATGAGGCCCCAAGCTTGGGGGGCGTGGGGGGCTCCCTGCTGCTTCTGACCCTGGTGTGGGGGGTGGGGGCTGCTCCTTCAGTGTGTGGGCTCCAGGCTGGCCTGGGAGGGCCGCCAGGGCTCCTGCTGGACAAGGAGCTTTAAAGGCAGGACAAGAAACTGAAAGGATGGACCAGAGCGGGTGGGGGCCGGGCAGGTCGGGGCCGGGCGGGTGCGCCCAGCTCGCCCACACCCTTAGTCTGCTGCTGAGATGGCTGGTTGTCCAGGCCTTGAATTCTCTGGAAAATAGAGGTAATAAGACCTTCCTCCTTGGGCTGTTGTCGGGAAAGGGCCTGGATGAATGGGCAGTATGATTATTATTACTGGGAGTCCAGGCCTCCTCTGGTGCCCACGCCACGTGCTACAGCTTGTCTGCTACAAACTGATTCATGCTTCACATCGTGAGCCGTAACGTGGACGGCGGTCACGTTGGCGCACGTCGGCGCCAGACCGCCTGTGTGCCAGCCCAGCTCTGCCCCTTCCCGCTGCGTGGCCTTGGGGATAATAATAACAATGCCCACCTCCTGGGGGAGCTGGGTCACCCAGCGTGCAGGCCGTGAGTGCTGTGAGATGCCCCCAGAGGCTCGCGCTCACGCCCCCGGACCCGGCCCCTCCCCGCAGGCATGTCGGACTTTAACTACCTGCATACGAACTGCTTCGAGATCACGGTGGAGCTGGGCTGCGCGAAGTTCCCGCCCAGGGAGGCGCTGTACACGCTCTGGCAGCACAACAAGGAGCCGCTTCTGAACTTCGTGGAGACGGTGAGCGCTTGGCGGGCCGGGGGCGCAGTGCCGCACCCCCACATCCACTCCTATAGCCTTGCTCTTTGTTGTCAGCTGCCGTTGAGTCGACCTCGACGCCTAGTGACCCCCACGTGTGCAGAGCACAACTGTGCGCCGCAGGGTGTTCAGAGGCTGAGCTTTTGGAATCAGATTGCCAAGACTTTCTTCCGAGGCACCTCTGGATGTGTTCAAACCACCAACCTTTTAGCTAGTAGTCGAGCGCGTAACCGTTTGCACCACTGAGGGCCTCCTTCCTGACTCTTTACCAGTGAACTATCCATCAGTCCAGGACCCATGCTGGCTGGTCTGTTCTCCTATACGCTGGCCCAGGAACGCTGGCTGACAACGCAGTGCTGGGGGTGGTCAGTTGACACTCGTGAGCCGTCCCACCCTGCTCGGATGTGTATCTGTGCTTCGAGGACAGAAGCTGGAGACTTTGTGTCCCAGACTCCCCTGAAGGACCGGGAGCTGATTGTTGTCATTAGCTGCTGTCTAGCTGGCTCTGACTTGTGGTGACCCCACGTACAGCAGGCGGAACGTTGCCTGGTCCTGCACATCTTCGCGATCGCTGCTCTGCTCGAATCCATTGTCATGCCCGTGGTGTGTCTTGAATGCCTTCCAACCCTAGTAGCTCAGTGGTTCAGAGCTCAGCTGCTAACCAAAAGGTCAGCAGTTCAAATCCACCAGCCGCCCCTTGGAAACCCCATGGGGCAGCTGTACTCTGTCCTGTAGGGTCGCTATGAGTCAGAATCAACTCGATGGCAATGGGTTTGGTTCTATCCTAGGAGCTCATCTTCAAGGACCATATCTGTTGTGCTCCATAGGGTTTTCAGTGGCTGACTTTCGGAAGTAGATCACCAAGCTTTTCTTCCTAGTCTGTCTTAGTCACCCCTGAAACCTACCCACTATGGGTGACCTTGCTGGGATTTGAAATACTGACGGCTGAGCTTCCAGCATCACAGCAACACCTCAGACTGACAGATGGGGGTGGGGGTGGGGATGCAAATTAGGTCCCACAGATTAGGTGTGTTTTGCTGATTTGGGTGTTTTTTGCAGCAAAGCCCCCCGCTGTCTGTTTGTAGTTCTGGGGGCGGCCGCTTCCCATGTCTCCTAGGACAGTGGGTCAGACTCAGGCTTCACGGCGGCTCCCGATGGTGCTGGAGGCAGTAGCTCCCTGTGGGATGCTCTGAGGTCTAGCTCAGAGCCAACTCTTCACCTGTTTGGTCTCGCAGTCCCAAGGGGCACGATTCAACAAGGGGCATGCGGGGGCTAGAGCAGCCTGGGGGAGGACCTGGCCCAGTGCGGAGGCCCTGAGGGCTTCCTGGAGGAGGCGGCCCCGGGCATCTGGAAGAACGATAGGAGAACTCAGTGTCAGGAGAGGGAGCTGCCGGGCATAGGGGTGCGTGTGCAGGACCCTGGGCCTCTGGGAGGCGGCGAGTCATTTCAGACCTGCGAAGGCCCTGGGCTGGAGTAAGGGGCGTGGCTGTGGGGATGGGGTATGGTGGCACCCCTGGGGGAAGGGCTGAGGCTCTGAGATGATGGCTCTTAGCACCAGGGTGTCCGTGTGGTCCAGGAGGGGGTCTTGGGGCAAGATAAGTGCGGTTTTGTAGAAGCCTCTGCTACTTTATGGAGTATTTTCAAGAATCACACAAATTGCATGTTGGCACCTGTGCTCCGTTTTATAGCTAGAGGGACAGGGTGTGATAGGGAAGGACAGCGCTGGTCTGGGCCACAGAAGGGCTCATATCCCTGCTTCGGTGATTGTGAGGCAGTCATAGAGGAGGAGACGGGGGTCAGAGTGGAGGAGATTGAGGGTCATAGAGGAGGAGACAGAGGGTCATAGAGGAGGAGACAGAGGGTCATAGAGGAAGAGATGGAGGGTCATAGAGGAGGAGATGAAGGGTCAGAGGAGAGGAGACAGAGGGTCATAGGGGGGACACAGAGGGTCAAACAAGAGGAGACAGAGGGTCAGAGTCAAGGAGACAGAGGGTCAGAGGAGGAGACAGAGGGTCAGAGAGTGACGTGACCTGTCTAGTGCTGCCCAGCGACTGCCTGGAGCTCCAGGCCAGGTCGGCCTGCCTCAAGCCGCAGTCTGTCTATGAGCCCCCTCCTTTCTAGAAAGAACAGGAACCTTCCTCCAGGCAAGAGTCCAGCCAGCCTCCTTAGAGCAGCCGCTGCAGCAGCAGTAGGAAAAAAACAAAGCCCCAGATAGTAATTAGACGTTAATAGCGCTGTTTGAGCTTCTTTTTTATGGCCATGTGAGTGACCTCGGCTACTTGGGTAAGGATCATCATTCAGTCAGGGCTCCTGGCCAGACCGCTATGCTATTTCATTTTACGGCTGTCTGGTGCAAATGAGTTTTCAGGAGCCTTAAATGGAGCTGCGATTGCTCTGTGGCTATTGTACGTGAAGTCTTGAGGTTTAAAGATTTAATAGCCAGCGCGATAGTGTGTGAGAGCGGGCAGCGCCCCGGCGGCCAGCAGGATGGACAGCCCTGCAGGGGGCCGGGCGATGCCTTCCGATAAGGGCGAGTCTGTCGTGGCCAATTGAGGCCGCTCCCGCGGTGATCCTGACCAGGCCTGGGGTGATGTCTGCGCCTCCCAAGGCCGCAGTGGGGAGCGGGCAGCTTTCCTTCCCGCTGGAGAGCTTCCACCCCTGGTTTGTGGGACCACGACACTTCCACTGGCTAGCAAGGGCGTGGCGAAACCGACCCAGTGCGTGGTGTCGTCTGGTGGGGACCTACTGTGTGCCCGAGGGGAGCGGCCGATCTGTGGTACATTCTCGCCTCCTACTCAGGAGACCCGGCTTTCATTCCCGGCTGATGCACCTCATGCGCAGCCACCACCTATCTGTCCAGGGAGGCTTGCGTGTTGCCGTGATGCTGAACAGGTTTCAGCAGAACTTCCAGCCTAAGACGGCCCAGGAAGAAAGGCCTGGTGATCTATTTCCAAAAATCAGCCAATGAAAGCCCTGTGTATCACAATAGTCGATCTACAGCCGATTGTGGGGATGACGCAGGCTGGGTAGCATTTCATTCTGCTGTGTGGGGTCGCCAGGAGTAGGTGGCTGACTTGATGTCAGCTGCCACAACAACTATTTGCCCTGTTCTCAGGTGGCGGGGGAGGCAGACCAGGGCTTCACAGAGGGGTCAGGCTGGGGGAGGGGGAGCCCAGGGCTGTGGGACCCCACAGGAGACATCCGAGGGGGTGGGTCAGCAGGGAGGGCTTCCTGGAGGAAGAGGATCATGAGCTGGGTCTCGAAGGACGAGAAGAAATCGGTCAGGTGAAGGTCTTGTAGCAGAGGAAATGGCAAGGACAGGCCTGGAGGCTGGAGTAGCCCTCAGTGTGGGTGGGGAGACTCGCAGTTCTGCTGACGTGGAGGGTGGGGTGGAGATAGTGGCAGGGGGCAGGCCCAGCCACGTGGCCTTAAGCCCCAAGTGCAGCCCCAAGTGCAGCCCCACCGGTGAGGAGGACCCACAGAGTTGCTGCGTGGTCTCCTGGCCTCTCAAACGATCCCACCCAGAATAGCTTGGACAAGGATGGCGGTGATGGTTGTGTAACATGATGAACGCGGTCAGTGCCCCTGAATTGTACATGTAAAAATTGTGGAACTGGCAAAAGGTGTGTCACACATATTTTTACCGCAACAAAAAATAAATTAAAAAATGGTCCCACCCAGGAAAGTCTTAGTTTTTAAGCTCCAGTGCTTCCTTCCCCCAGTGAGTCCCCAAGGGGTTGTTTTGGGGTTTAACTGCATTAAGCAGGTGTGGCCGAGTGAAATGTGGCCAAGAACGTCCAAGGAAGGGTCACCAGTCCAGGAGGGCGGTGGGCCGTGCCCACCACACCCCCTCCCACGTGGCCTGCTCAGGTGACAGGTCCTACCTGCTCTGGTTTTGTGCCTTTGCTCCATCACATGGGGCTCCCCGAGGAACAGCAGGCGACATTTGGCTGGTAGAGCATTTCAAGCTGGGAGCAGTGTCCCCTAAGTCTCGAGATCGGTGGAGGGTGAGGCGGACGGGCGGAGCAGCTCAGAGCACCTGGCCCAGTTACTCAGCCTCCATTTTCCCGTCTGTGAAATGGGACAACACGGGGGGTGGGGAGGAGATGGAGGAGCTCACATCTGTGCCAGAATCTCCGAGCGGCGCTCGCTCATGGCCGGTCCTACGGAAGTGTCAGTGGATTTCTTTGTTTTGTTTTTTAATTTTATTGAGGTAAAATATATAGAACATGAAGGGTTCCAGTTTAACAATTGTAAGTGTACAGTTCAGTGCCATTACGTACATTCAAATGTCGTCTAGCCATTACCACTTCCTTTGTCCATCACCCCAAACACAAACTCAGTGCCCCTTAGCTCCTCTTTCTCGCCTCCCCTCGGCCCCTGTCACCCAGGTGCAGCCCCTGTCTCTCTGCATTCGCCTCTTCTGGATAATTCACAGAAGTGGGATCATGTAATAGCTGGCCTTTTGTGCCCGGCTGATTTCACTCAGCATGATGCTTTCACGGTCCCTCCGTGCTGTGCCGTGCGTCAGGACTTCGTTTCTCTTTCTGGCCGAGTAACATTCCGTTGTCTGGATGGACCGCGTTCTGTGCCTCCGCGTGCCTGTTGGGGGCGCTGTTCTGGGCAGTGCTGTGGTGTCCAACTGTCTGTCTGAGTCCCTGCTTTCGAGTCTTCGGTTTTATACCTCGGACTGGGATTGCTGGGTCACCTCGTGATGGATTCAGTGTTTGATTTCTTGAGGATCTGCCAAACTGTTGTCCTTGTTAGCTGATTTTACTTGCCTTAAACCCATTTTACAGTCGAGGAAAATGAGGCACAAAGAAGGAACGGTTTGTCAGAGGCCAGGAGCCCCTGGGGCTGAGCTGGCTCTCACGCCCAGAGAAAGACACTCCCGAAGGCGTGCTAAGGGGGGGTGAAGAGAAGTGGGAGCTCCTTCCAGGGCGCGGCATGACCGTGGGCTTGGGCATATTTGCCTTGGTGACCCCTCCTCCATTAAAAAAAAATACTAAAAATTCCATTTTTGTGACCGCGTCGGTATAAAGTCGAGCATAGTAACATTATATGACATTTTCTTCGACCCAAAAGTTCGTGTTCCTCTTCTGAATTTAAAACAGATAAAACCATCTTGGTGGGCTCCTGGTGGTGGGCTGGGCTGGCCTATGCCTCTGTGTCTGGTGGTCCCAGGCCGGCTGCTCTATGTACCACGCCCAGCGTGCGCCAGGCCGGGGGCCCAGTGTTTCGGAGTTTCTGGAGACCCTGGAAGAGCAGGCTCGAGGAGAGCAAGGCCTGGGGGCCTGTGAGGAGAGCAGCCTCACTGGACGGACCTGTCTCTTCACCAGACCTGCAGCCTCCACGTGGCGATCATCGGAATAGGGCAAGGGCATTTGCTTGCTTTCTGCCAGTTTGTGGAGGGGAAGAAGTGTGGGCGGTATCAGGTGGTCTGGGAGGGCTTGCCATCAGGAAAAGCTGTGTGTCCAGGGGCCACAGGGGCGTGAGCCCAGAGGCTCGGCTGGGTGTGGGGATTGTCCCTACAGCAGTGAGCAGGGGTTGCGTGCAACTGTGTTCCTGCTGTTTACGCTTTCGTTAGCTGTTGTCAAGTCGACCCCGACTCCTGGCGACCCCATGCCCAATGGAACAAAACACTGCCTGTGCCATCCTCAGGATCAGACCATTGTGACCCATAAGGTTTTCACTGGCTGATTCTCAGAAATAGATCATCAGGCCTTTCTTCCTAGTCCATCTGGAAGCTCTGCTGAAACCTGTTCAGCATCACAGCAACACATGAGCCTCCAGTGACAGGTGGTGGCTGCACATGAGGTGCATTGGCCAGAATTGAACCGGGTCTCCGGCTTGGAAGGCGAGAATCCTGCCCCCGCATCACCACTGCCCCACGTACCTTTTCTCATCCCTGAGGTGGGGCTCTTACCCCGCTGCGCAGATGGGGAGTGGTGATGAGGTGTCAGGTGGCTTGTCCAAGGTCAGAGAGCCAGCTGGAGTCAAGGCCAGGCCGAGACCCCGGCTCAGAGGGGTGGGGGGCTGGCGGGGGCAGGGCTGGCTGGGGCAGGGTGTTGGGTTCCCTGGAGCCCATGCACCACCTCAGCCTCAGCGCCTTCGTTCTCGGCCCCCAGGTGCATCGCGGCATCAAGGGCGTGGTGATGGACAAATTTGGGAAGCCAGTCAAGAATGCCAGGGTCATAGTCAAGGGCATCCGCCATGACATCACCACAGGTAGGCACCTCCCTGCTCTCACCTGGCCCGCTTTGGCCAATCTGCAGCAGGGCATGTGGATGGGTGCTGTGGGCAGGTGCTTCCCAACACTCAAGGCTGGGGGCTTTATCGGATCACACTAGTCATCCTTGGTGAGGGAGGGGGAGCTTGTGTGGAAGGAAAGCCAGATGGGGAGGGCCCTGGGTGGGGGAACTCTGGGTCAGGGGAAACCCTGGGAGGACCCCAGGTTGGGGGGACCCTGAATATGGAGGAGACCCTGGGTGTGGGTGACTTGGTGGGCAGGAACCCCAGGTGGGTGGGGCCCCTGGGTGGGGGGACCCTGGGTGGATGAGAACCCTAGATGGAGGGGACCCTAGGTGGGAGGACCATGGGTGGGGAAGAACCCTGGGTGGGTGAGGACCCAGACTGGAGAGAACCCAGGTGTTGGGGGGATCTTAGGTGTGGGAGAGACCCCAGGTAAGGGGGAGCTCAGGTGGGGGATCCTGGGTGGATGGGGACCCAGGTTGGGGGATACCTGAGGGTGGGGAGAACCTGGGTGTGGATGACCTTGGTGGGCAAGGACCCTAGGTAGATAAGGATCCCAGGTCAGGGGACCGGGGTGCCTAGGTGGGGAGAGGGACCCCTGTTGGGGGGGCCTCAGGTGGGAGAGGGCTCCAGATGACAGGGACCCCAGATGGCAAGGCTCTGAGTGGGAGGGGACACTAGTTGGGAGGGGACACTAGTTAGGAGGGGGCCCCAGGTGGGAGAGGACTCCGGGTGGGGTGGCCAGGCCAGTTTAGGGTCTGTCTGCCCTCTGTGTAACCCTCTCTTGGCCCTTAGTGCCCATCACCCTGAGCCAGGTCTGAGAAGGACTTTTACTCTCTCCGTCTGCAGCCCTCAATGGCGACTACTGGAGACTGCTGCCCTCAGGGTCCCACATCATCATCGCCCAAGCCCCCGGCTACTCCAGGGTCATCAAGAAGGTCACCATCCCCGCCCACATGAGGAGGGCCGGCCGGGTGGACTTCATCCTCCAGCCCCTGGGAGCAGGACCCACGAAGTCCCTCCACGGGCTACGGAGAGGTGGGCCGGCGCCCCGTGACCCACTGGAAGACAAAGACAGTGACCAGCACGGCGAGCTCCCAGGGTTCCAGAGGCAGCCCCCCGCAAACGGGGGCAAGCCCTGGTGGTGGTCCTACCTCAGTTCGCTGAGTCAGCACAAGCCGCGCTGGCTGCTCAAGTACTAAGGAGAGACCTCCACCCACCGGGTGGGAGACCCGGAGCCACCTCTGGTCTGGGGGCTTCTGGCTCTCCAGCTGGCCTTCCCCAGAGATTGCATAGAGTCGTTTTTATCTCATTAAATTGTCTTTATTCAGCTTCTACCTGGGGAGAGGCTCTGTGTGTGCTGCATCTGCGGGAGGGATGGACCACCCCAGGGAAGGACCCGAGGAGCACCGGCAGCCTTGGCCTTGCCCACCCTCAGGACCACCCCGGGGGAAGCACATCTGCTATCCCCCAGGGGCAGAAAGGGCAAGGCTGGGATTCGAACCAGTCCAGGCCAGTGCCACTGAACCAGTCGATCTCCCTGGGACCATCAGATCTTTGAATCCAGAGGGGCTGGGTGTTCACGTGGTCCCTCCATTTTACAGATGGGTATACTGAGGCTCAGGGAGGGGCAGTGATGTGCCCGGGGTCATGCACCAAGGGGGTGGTCAGGGCCATGGCAGGAGCTGAGATTCTGGACCCTGCAACCAAAGATTTTAGGTACAGTACAAGTGTGGTGGAGGGTGTAGGTATAAAAGCCATGCAGGTTGTAGGTATGGGAATGGTGGAGGGTGTCGGTAAGGAAATGGTGGAGGGTGTAGGTATAAGAGCCATGCAGGTTGTAGGTAAGGACATGGTGGACAGTGTAGGTACGGGAGCAGTGAAAGGCATAGGGTTAGGGTTAAGGCTAGATGTCCGAATTCAGGGCGCAGGCTCTAGGGGAAGGCTTTCTCTCTCTGCTGGCTCTGGGGGAAGGTCCTTGTCTCTTTTCAGCTTGTGTTCCTCGATTCTTTTAGCGATCTCCGTGTGGCATCTATCTTCCCCCATCTGTGCTTCTCTGTCTAATCTGCTCTTTTTATATGAGTGGGTTTAAGACACACCCTACACAGATATGGCCTTATTACATAGCAAAGAAAACTGTATTCCCAAATGGGATTACATCCACAAGAAAATTGTTGGGTGCCATCACTCTGATTCTGACTCATAGCAACCCTGTGGCTGGGTGAATACCAACCATCAACCCTTCAGTTAGCAGCTGAATGTTTAACCGAGTGCTTCACTATTGCTCCACCTGGGCTCATTTTATCCACAAGTATAGGGGTTAGGATTTACAACACATATTTTTGGGTGTCGCAAATCAATTCATAATAAGCAGCGTTCTTAAAACAAAGTGATACTAAGATACAGCTATTGGTCTCTACCTGTCTGAAGCAAAAGACAAAGAAACCAAAGACTCAAGGGAGTAACTAGCCTAGAGGACAAATAGTCTACACGAACCACGGCTTCATCTACCCTGAGACCAGAAGAACTAGATGGTGCCCAGCTACCACTACTGACTGTTCTAATCAGCACCACAATAGATGGACCCTGATAGAATGGGAGGAAAATGTGGAACAAAACCTCAAATTCCTAAAATAAATAAATTAATTAAAAAAAAAAAAAACAGACCTACTGGACTGGTTGAGACTGGAGGACTCCCGGAGACTATTGCCCTGAGATAGTCTTCAAACCCTGAAACAAAACTAACTACTGAGATCACCTTGTAGCAAAAGAACAAATTGGCTCAAAAAATAATGACTGTCACTTGTAAGTACTGTGCCTTTTTAAAAAGTCATCTGCATGAGACCAAACAGTCAACAATTACTTTAAGACAAATACGAGGATGTAAATGGGCAGGGAAACTAGATTAATGGAAATGGAACAACCAGAATGGAAGTAATGAGACTGTTCATGCATTGTGAAGAATGTAACCAATGTTACTGGACAATTTGTGTAAAAGCTGTTGAATAGGAGCCTAAACTGCTGTGTAAACCTTCACTGAAAACACAATAAAATATTATTTAAAAAACAACAACAATAAAGTGATAAAGTTTGAAAATAAAGCGATGATCAAAGAGATCTCAAGCCTGTATACACCAAAGGAAAATGAAGGCTTTGCTTTTAGTACAGAGAAGGTGGAATTAAGATCAAAAACACTGAACAGGAAAGACATTTTGAACAATGAAAAGAACAATTTATGAACAAGATATAATAATAAATCTGCCTTATTCCCTAATCAACTTCTCAGCTAATCATATTAAGCCAAGTCATGTAAAAGTACAAAGAGAACTTAATACAACATGATTCCAGTAGGAATCCCAGTGTACCTTTTTCAAAATCAGACCAATCTACTCGATAATAAATAAATTAGGTTTTAGAGAAATTGAATCACATAATCAACAAACTCAATTTAATAGATGCATGCAAAACATTTCATACTTCAAATAGAGATTTATGCTTTTTACAAAGACCATTGAGCATTTATAAAAATTGATAATGTACTTAGCCACAAAGAAAACTTTAAGAAAAAATTAAAAGGCAGAGACAGAACAGGTCACTTTGTCTATACATACCATACCAGTTGCTGTTGAGTCCAGTTCAAGTCAAGGTGGCCCCACGTGTGCTGCATAGGGTTTTCAATCGCTGATTATTCAGAAGTAGATCACCAGGCCTTTCTTCTGAGGAGCTGCTGAGTGGACTCAAACCTCTAACCTTTCAGTTAGTAGCCGAAATCATGAACTGTTTGCTCCATGCAGGGACTCCTCGCTAGCCATATGCTAGTAAAATGGGAAATGATAAATAAAATTTTGACCTGTCCCCCAAAAACCCATTATCTCTTGGAAAGTAGTAAACACACTGTTGCGTTAAGCTTTGTGTTAGAGGGTAGGTTGAGCTCTAAGGCAGAGAACCAACAGCCAAGTGGATTTACACGATGGAAGTTGACTTTTAACTTAAAAATTTGGGCTGTGTGGTGGTTTGCCTCATGAGGTTCTCTGGTTGGCTGAATGCTGTAGAGACCAGGCTCCTTTGTCTTGTTGCTCCATTCTCCTAGGGTGCACCCTCATCCCCCTGGTCCCAAACAGCTCACCAAGACACTGCATTTCAGCAGAAGGGGGAGGAGAGGGCAGGCCCCCAGGTTATACCTGTCCCTTCTACTCACATCCCATTGGCCAGAACTTAATCACATGGCCACACCTGCCTCAAGGGATGTTGGGAGATGTAGTTGTCATCATGGATGGGATACACCAATTACAAACCAAGGGTTCTGTCACCCCAGAAGAGGGGAATGGATTTTAGGGGACAATTAGAGTCTGAACTATATACTTGGAGTCAAAAGGAAATGAAAACTGAAATATTAAACTGATTTCAAAGCAGTGAAAAGAAAAACTCTTCAATGCACACAGTAGAAGCTGTAACCAGAAGAAATTTAAAAGACTTAAATGCATTCATTATTGAAGAAGAAAGACCAAAAATAAAGGGACTAGTTTATCACTTTAGAAAACAGAAGAAGATAAGAAGAGGGAAACAGTAGAGATAAAAGTTGAAATAAAGGAAATAGAAAGCAAACGAACCAAAATAGAAGAAAGTATTAATAAACTTCAAAGCTGGTTTTTTAAAAAGATGAGTAAGATGGATAAGTCTCTCAGATACCTGATTAAGGAAGAAAGAGGAGAGTAAAAGTGGCAATATTAGGAATGAGAAAAGAGACATGACTGAAAAAGTGGAAAACATTTAAAATGTTTTTTTTTTTAAAGAAAACTTCATGTCACTTTATGGCAACAAAATCGAAGACCTAGAGGAAAAGCGATGGCTCCCCAGCAAAATATAAATGACCAAAACTAACCCAAGAGGATAGAGATGACTTGAACAGATCAAGTATCATGAGGTATGATTCCGTACATACAGTCAAAAAAGAGGTTCTGAGAGGGGCTCTCGATAACCTTTAAAGAACAGATAATTCCAGTACTGCCAGCAGAAGGAACAAATCAGTCTTAGAAGAAATAAAACCAGAATGCTTCTTAGAAGTGAGGATGGTGGGACTTCAGACCACTTACTTTGGACATGTCATCAAGAAAGAAGGATTAATAATAAAAAAGGACACCTGGAGTAGGGTGGGCCCTAATGCTATAAACTCCTGTCCTTATAAAAGAGAAGAGACACAGAAAAACACACAGAGGAGGAAGACAATGGAGCCTGGTCTCTAGAGCATTCGGCCACAAGCCAAGGAATGCCAAAGAATGTCAGGGAACACCGGGATCCACCAGAAGTTGGGAGACAGGCAGGACCAGATTCTCCCTCAGAACCTTGGAAGGAATCAACACGGCCGACACCCTGATCTCGGACTCCCAGCCTCAGAACTGTGAGATGATAAATTTCTGTTCTTTAAAGCCACCCACTTGGTATTTTGTTATGGCAGCCCCAGGAGATTAAGATAGAGACCATGGGCAGGGGGTGATGGGGAGCCTCCTAGGAAAAGAGTGATGAGAAAGGACAGAGAGAGGGACTGGAGTCCAACTCTAGATTTCACAGTATTCAAAAGGCTCTCTGAGAGAAGTTTCTGTGAAAGACACTAGGAAGGAGCATCTAAGACCAAGAAGTCAAACCAGGTGATGGTATTGACGGGATGTCAGGACTGAGATAATTCACGAGGCACGTGAGTGGGAGCAGTGTACGCCCAGAGCCTCTCACTACTTCCCTGTCACTCTGTATGATGCTGACTCCTTCTGGTGTCTGTGGTCCCTGTTGTTCTGTGAGCTTGGTTGTGGGAAGGAACAAGCATGGTCTGGCTACTGCCATATCCCCCAGTCCTAACAAAGAGCCTAGTAAATCAAGGATGCTCTCATTGGATGATGAATGAATGATGAATGAGTGTGAAGGATTGAATTGTGTCCCTCAGCAAGTTATGTTGCAGTCCTAACATCTGTACCTGCAAACATGACCCTGTTTGGAAGTAGGGCTTTTCTTTTGTTGTGTTACTGAGGTCATACAGAATAAAGTGGCTCTTAAACCTAATCCCTTCTGAGTGGTGTCTTATAAAAAGAACAGAATGGACATAGACACACACAGTGGAAGACAGACACCATCTGAAAATACATCTACAAGCAGCAAAGGAATACCAAACATTGCCACCAGAAACTAGGAGGGAGGTTCACAGGAGGAATCA